ATCACACTATTAACTATTTTGTAACGACACATAACCGTACTTCGAACAACAGAAAACGATTTAATGAAATCTGTTGTCAGAGAAGCAACAAAAACACACAGAATGGAAATATGGTATAAATATATGAATATTTGTGATTGAACTCCACATGGACCCCAAAATAACTATTTTGCGTATAAAAGTTAGGCACTATGGATCGAATTGTTGCCCAACGATGCGTAAGCCTATTTAGCCTTATCTATACATTTATCGTTTAACATTTAATATTCGATGATGTCGAGAATTTTTTTATTAACTAAACGACTCTGAAAGATAATGAAAACACGTCAAATTAGCTTTTCTAACGTTAGAAACTGAAGCAGGTAAAAATTCTGTGGGCCCGAGTAGACCCAATCGTCGATGGCTTTGAGATTACTAGAATTATCCTTATTCCGAGAATTAAATAATATACAACTTGATGTACCGCGTAAAATGAAAATGATTAAAATTACAAGTAGTTAAGCAAATAGTAATAATTACAATTTACGCAGTGTGTAGGGTTAAAAACGAAAGATTCACTAGTACGTATGATAGATTTAATTGATTAAACGTGGTCTAGGAAATCAAGCCAGATTTTGTTGTTTAAACATTTTTTGAGAAATGCATAACTTATTTATGAATATAAACCATTTGATACATTAATATTCTTTAGACTTGATTTTTATGCGAAACATATTCTAAGAAATCCAAGCATACGATTTCAGTATGGCAGATATCACAATGAGGTTTGATTCTCAATCACTATAATTTAACTGAAACGAATGCATTATTGTAATTTTTCATATCGAATCGAATGATTATGGTTAACTTGAAATTTTGTTACTGCGAAAATATAACTTATTCGACAGTATTTTTTAAATATTATCTTTAAATATATTTCTATGTGTACATGTACATTGACCAATTGTAAACGATTGGTTAACGCTTTTTGTCATAGAAGAATCGTATCAAATCGTTAACGAAGGTGAGTAATTAGTATACAGCAACTGTTTGTGTGAAATTACATCTTTATACATAAATTTAGAAGAATTATTTAGTAATTAGACATTTTTTTATCAATACAGTTTTTTTCTCGTTATTTTGAAATAATTCAACACATATGTTTATAGGTACTTTTACAATGGATGGACTCTTGTTAAACAGTATTATTCAAATATACAACAGTGTGTATATTTGTACACATATATAGTGAACTTGAATGTATGCATTCCATGCAGACTTGTTTATATGTATTTAATATACAAAATGATAGATGTACTATGAATACTTTTATTTAGTCAAACATATAATGGCTGTTTCACGTAGTACAGATTTCTTAAAAGGATTTTGGTTCGATATATTATTACGGATTGTTTTAGCAGGATTATTCATGTAATATTTATCTCAGAAATTACTTCTTAACATTGTCATTGTTTCACCTTTTATGTACTCTCATTCTTCTTCGTATAAATAGAGAATTAGAAAAAGCAGAACCATTTACAAGAAAAATTCATGAAGAGGAATTATGGCTATATAAAAATCCAAGAACAGATTCTTATGTTCCAACTACAGTATTATGGGTAATATATTATAAATATGCGATCATGCTTTTATCCACTGATTAAGTAATAGATATGTTACTGTTTTGTATTTTTGTAGCCTTTAGTATTCCTCATGCCAGCCATAGTGATCTTTTTTACTTTCATAGTTTACAAGGACAAAACTGATTTCTATCAGGCAATATTATCAGTGACTTTAGCATTAGGATTCAACGGTGTTATCACGGATATTATAAAACTTGTAGTTGGTAAGAATTCAAAAGCTTCATTTATGGAAGTAATGACCAAACATTTGCACAAATATTATTTTCTAGGTCGTCCTAGACCAGATTTCTTTTGGAGATGCTTCCCTGATGGAAAAGCAAATTCTGATTTCAAATGTAATGGAAACCTAGTTGTCGTAAGAGATGGGAAAAAGTCATTTCCAAGTGGACATTCTTCATGTATGTATCACTAGAAGAAAACTATGTAAATTTCATAGCATTTGAAATATTCTTTGATTTTTAGTTGCATTTGTAAGCTTTGGTTTCGTTGCTCTATACATAGCTGGAAAGCTACATACGTTTAGTCTAGTTGGCAAGGGACAGTCGTGGAAGTTGTGTGCATTTATTTTACCAATTTGTATTGCACTTGGAATCGCATTAAGTAGAGTTTGCGATTACCACCATCATTGGCAAGGTAAGCGTATTGCCCTGCTGCAGCAAAGACATATTCTAATACTTGAAATTTTAGATGTGGTTGCAGGTTCCATAATAGGATACTTTCTAACATACATATGTTATAGACACTATTATCCACCCCTAGATTCACAAGTGTGCCATAAGCCATACGCTGACCTTACCCTGCAAACAGAAACTGCAAAGATCAGAAACGATCAGATCAAGTGGATCTAATGTATTAACAATTTAAAAAGCTAACGGTATTAATAGAATTTATTAATTTAATGTCTCCAACGATCCTGTATTTCTAATTTACACCTGTGTTATGTATATTTATGAACATACCAAATAATAATACCTAAATTTCCAACGGATGTACATTAAAGATATATTTTTACACGAAAGTAGTCATACTACCATTAAAAGAAAACTCCATTTTATCTTTTAAATGGGTCGAAAGGTTCACGAGTCAGCAAAAGAAAATTCATATCAAACGTTCCTCTATTCTAACGCAGGTTTTCGAAATCGTTCAAAATGGCGCGTCCAGGAACATGCGCAGACGCGCGCGGATAATCGTATTGCGCGCACAAACGCCATTTTGAAGGTGTCGCGTATGACGCGCCACCACATTGGTTTCAGTCAAAGAGGAGCAGTGGTCGAGTTGATGGTGTTAGCGCTTCTCGTTAAACTTTTTAACTTGGCGGTTGATCGTATGTATCTTTGCGCATCGTGGAATTCGGTCGGGTATCTTCTATATTAGTCGAAGAAGGATCGCCATCGGGTTTCGTGGGTTCGGTCACGGGGGAAACGAGGGTATACGGCCCGTGTATCTTTTCCGTGGAAATTAAAAGAGTTGTATCAGGTTTCTCAGCACCGTGAAGTGACATAGTTATTTACGAGCTGTTGTGTTGGTGAAATGTTGTCTCAACTTCCTGTACATGGCGAAGACTCGTGAGCGTCGTCGGTCGTGTTGAATAGTCAAACACCAGTGTTGGAAAGGTGTTTTGTCCCTTTCTGCAAAACCTTTCGTCGTATCGACCTGCTTCGCGTAACCCAGATCGACAAAATCGTGCCAGTTGTGCATGAAAATGATCAACATGGAAACGGATAAGACTATCGGCGACACAAACACGAATCTTCAGGTATGCAACATATACAGTAGAGCGGAGAACCCTCAGCTTCTTTAAATCGACTATTATTTAAATGGCCGATTCATCGGGCCCGTCGCCGATCAGCTTCCCCGATTCTCCTTGGAATTATCGCCAGCTAACGTTCCAGTTCCGCGAGCATCCCGTGTATCTTATCCCCCCGACAGGTTCGGTAAATGTATTAGTATTTTTCACCCGCCATTCTACCGCCATCTTATGTATCCTTATGACAGAGAAATTCGCTAACATTTCACGATCGCCCGACAGTTTCTATGAGAAAACCCTTATTGGTCCTACCACCTGACTCCATCGACGAGGCTAATTAATCGTACGAATGCATTGCGCGCAGAAGGCTGCTGGATTCTCTCGTGCACTGTTGTTACGCGTCACGGTGATCGTGCTCGTTGAATGGAACCACTTTTATTAAAAATATATTTATCTCTCGATGACAGTTATCGCGTCGTTTCGGAGAAATTTATTATTGCACGACTAGTCCATTATTTTCCTCGTCCAACGGAGCCTGTTACACGTTTTTACCTTTCCTCGCTACATACACACACACGCACTTAGTGTAAGTTAATCCGGATTAAGAAAAATCTGCATAAATGTGATTCATACGAATTAGGTATTCCTTTTATTGAACAGTATCATTTTTTTTCCTCTCGGCAATTCGTACGCCCCGCTAATACGTTCACGCCATGAACCAGGCAATGTTTATACCGCACCTTCAATACGCGTACGTCCTTTCCATGTTTTTTTTTATACCTCGTATATTTATAAAAGTGTGGTATATATTTATTTTCGAGCTGAAATTTCAATCGATACGGTGAATCCGAGACGATTATTCACCGAGATCCTGTCGTCTATCGTTTCCCCGTGAAATGTAGCGAATTCGCGGTCCAATTGGATTGCCCGTCGCGCGATAACGTTTTACTGGTAATCGTTACATTCGATCGGGTGGTAATCGCCTTTGTTACCGGAACAAAGGACAGATGACTTAAATACACGTCTAATCTCGGTGCCTGACGATGTCTCGACGAGCTTGCTACATAATCAATGTTTAGTCTCCACTTGGCTCTTTCCACTGTTTTTTTGCCGCTTTTACGATATCGAACCCTTTTTCAATGCTTCCTCCATGACAATAATAAACCGGCCGAGATCTGCAGTTAAACCTACCTTCGCTTGAATCCACGCGTTGCTTTTTTCTTTTGCATTTTAATTAAAAAAAATAAAAAATTAATTAAGATTAATTTCAAAGTGTCATCGAAATGGGTTAACCGTTAATAAATAAATTCCACTGTTGGAAGTGTGGTGTTGCAACAGCACAATCGCATCAAATGAAAACTAGCATTCAGCTTCGTCGCGTGTCGTTACAACGATATCGATTCGTACACGCGATTGGGCATAAGCCAAAAATGTTTAATTATGCGTATAAACATTTGGACTTGTTCTTGATCCGTCTAGTGCATCTTAATTAGCCCCGAGCGTGAGTATCTGTTTACAGAAAGTCCTCCGCGTTATCTGTCGTCGTGTAAAAAAAAGAGAGGTTATGTAAAAATCGGAGACACGAGACGTGTATTTAGTTTGGTTAGAAGTAAAACTCGGTGGAAAGGGATTTCGACGCAGACGTGACAAGTAGAGAAACATTAACCCTCGCCCAATGACACGTAAGTCTGTTCGAAACCAGTTTGCACATTTATCATACGATGACCGATAGAATTATTTTATTTACATTTCGTTCACGCCAAAAATTCACTGGAAATTTATATTTTCACATTAAGAAAAATTAATTAATTCGTTGGAGCTTGCATTTTTAGAACCCGAGTAGAAATCGGAGAAAAAAGAATTGCACTCGTTACGACAGGTTTTATTTTAGCTAGAACCTCGCCGGAGTATTAATTGTTTAATATTAATTCACGTTCGACGAAAAGAGGCCTATAATCCTGAAACGAGCCATGTAAATGAACCCTGGGCATTGTGTTGTTGCACGGAACATGACTTAACGGAAAAAAAAGAATCCGCGGCCCTCGTATTTAGTGGCAGTGACTCATCATTCCGGTTATATTACTTACAACGCCGCCGGGCGCGCTTTTAATTTTTCATTTTTAAGTTGGGCAAAGATTCGCGGCAAAAAGGAGGGCTAGACGCTAAAGGCTCGAGAATTCACAATGGACTTTCGGAACCGAATAAATTCGCGTATATTTCTATGAGACTAGCGTTTTTGAAATTTCTAGTCAGCAACGTTGTATATTTAGAAAGACAGGAAGAGAGATACGAAGAACCAAGGACTGCCAGGACTTTCGAAACCTTTTCCGGTTGCAAATGCTACGGATCATAATGGCTGCTGGTTTTTTCGCGCCACGAATCGCGACTCCCGCTAGTTCTGCCTTACCGACGCGGCGCAGATTTAATTGTTTTCTTTCCGTTCGAAGATATCAGGATTATCTGCATCACGCCACTTAAGATATTTTATGTCACACTTTCTGCCACTGGGTTGCGCGCAAGTTAATACTTATCAACGTGACACCTAACCACTTCCGCCGTGGACCAATCGATCTAATGGAAATCTGTTTTCTTAACACTGTTTCCAGCGAAGCTGTCAAAAGTCACCTTTCGAGATTTTGACTGAAAATTGTGTGGAGTAATTTTTCTTTCATTGAATTTTCGACATTTCAATTTGCAGTTTAAATTTCAAGTCTTTTGACAGCTTCGGTAGTAGTGTTAATGGTGTGCAGTCCTCTGAACCGTTTGACGATTCGAATCGATTTTTATCGATTATGAACTAGTCGATAATATATTTTCGAATAGGGTTTATTCAGAGCGTCGACCAATTCGAATCGATTTTTATTGTAAACTATGTTAATAATATTTTCGAATAGGGTTTATTCAGAGCGTCGATTAATTCGAATCGATTTTTATCGATTATAGACTATGTTGATAATAATATATTTTCGAATACGGTTTATTCAGAGCGTCGTATAATTTTAATTGTTTACAAATCATGTTAATAATAATAATAATAATAATAATAATATATTTTGGAATACGGTTTATTCAGAGCGTCGGCTAATTCGAATCACGAGGTACTCGAACGTCTCGGGTGCTCGGACAGCTCGAGAAAATAGAACGCGTAACGACGCGAAGACAAAGAAATACGAGGAGCATAGATTCGACACGAGTTCGCGATCCCGTTATGCCGGGAGCACCGCGGAGAGGAAGATTTTCAGGTGATCGGGGAAGTACTCCTTGGCCGCCAGGACTGTGTTCAATGTTGCTATGCCACCTTTTACAGTCGAGCGATCACGATATCTCGGGACGCGACGGAGGAGCGTTTCCTTGCGCGATGTACCACCTTCCCTTCACGGAAAGTGTTGAAATCGTAATTGTTGATGCGATCACGGCCGGCGATTGTTCGCACGCGAATTTCAAGCGGGAGCTAAGGTAAATGTCCCTATTCGCGACCAGTTGCTTCTTTGTGTCGTCGACTTTCGCGCGGCGACGGCCGGGTCAATGGTGACCCGCCAAATTAAACGTCAATTCCGATCATTATTTCACAGAAATGTTTCTACACAAAAGAGACGTTTATAGAAACTCTGTATTATCTTTATAATTCATTTAATTATTTTATTGATACTTTATTGAAAAGCAATTTGTATTTGAAAATATCTTGAGCGAAGAGGAAGACGTCAGCGAAACCGTTGAGCGTCAAACCAGAAGATTCGCAGTTTTCTTTAAACTGCGTCGGCGGTTTAATTAAGTTTAGCAGGTTGTCGGCGGCGCAGATAACAAATTGGTCTCGTAGCGTCGGCGATTACCGCGTCGAGACGGTTTCGATCGTCTCGTTTGTCCGATAGAAATGTCCAACCTTAATTGCAGAACGCTTAACAAGATATGCGTCTATTATAAGGGTTTTCGCTTCCAGAGGTGGCGAGCGTGACAAGTAGGTCAGACACGAAATATTGGATTATAGCGGGCAGACCACGGTCCTTCGGTACATTTCCCTCGAATTAATTAAACGCATTATCGCGGAGTGCGTGCTCGACATTGTTGAAAGACGCCACACTTCGACGTCGAAGTCGATTTTTCGTTCGTCGACACTTAAGGAGGAGCGATCGAATAAAATGATTGTTTGTAATGTATGGATTAACGGATGAATAAGTTACAAGTGGCTCGCACGTTTAATGGATGACGAAGGTTTTGTAATCTGGTTGAACTGCGAGTGTCGGCGAATGTAGGGATTTCGTTCCCTTGCGTTTGTCGATAACGAGTTCGTCCGTAGATAAATCGTATCTGTGTACAATAGAAAATGCTATAAATCAGAGGAACGAATCGCATGTTTAAACATCTATTTCTGCGAGCATTCCCGATGTCCTGTACATGCAAGTGAGCGTGGTCTATCTGAGGTCAAGAACCCGGTACCACGCTCTACCTCAAGATACGTTTGTCGTGCAGTAGGCTCGCGACCGTGCATTTTTTCCCCAGAACGTTTAATTGGCTCTTATAGGTGTATTTCAGAGAAATATTTAAATATACGTTGAATTCCGATGTACGAGTTATTTTTATACACGCCCCCCTGGTAACGAAGTTTTTGTGTGCTGAAGAAAGGAAAATGGCGAATGTTTGATTGAACTAGGATTAAAGTAGAGTTCAAAGTGTATTTGTATTTTGGTGTGTAATTTTTTGGTTTTTTTCTTTCAGTATCCAATAACAATACTCTACGATCCTACTCGCAAGAAAGAATTACCAACAGGGGTGTCTCCGTTGTACAGTCAAGAGAAAGAAATATGTATGCAACTTTTCGAGAGATGGAGCGAACCGGAACAAATTAACTTTGTGGAACAGTTGTTAGCACGAATGTGTCATTATCAACACGGACACATCAATGCTTATCTGAAGCCAATGTTGCAAAGAGACTTTGTATCTCTATTACCAAGTAAATATTTTTATTCTTGTTAGGGCACTGGAGTAAATAGGTCTACTGCAGATCTAATGTGACTTTCTTTTGTATGATTTTAGAAAAAGGATTGGATCATGTAGCGGAGAGTATTCTTTCTTATCTGGATGCTGACTCGTTGATCGCTGCAGAACTAGTATGCAGAGAATGGCACAGAGTAATTAGCGAGGGAATGCTTTGGAAGAAGCTAATCGAACGAAAAGTACGGACTGATTCTATTTGGAGAGGGCTTGCTGAGAGGAGGGGATGGTTTGTTGATAACTTGTTGTTTATTGCAAGTTTATTACACTGTGCCACAGCAAACTAGGTTTTGTTTTGGTTTTAGGATTCAATATTTATTCAAACCTAGACCAGGAGAAAGCCACCCAAACCACAGTTTTTATAGATCTCTTTATCCTAAAATAGTTAAAGATATTGATAGTATAGATAATAATTGGAGAATGGGAAGATTTAACCTTCAAAGAATAAACTGTAGAAGTGAAAATTCTAAAGGTGTTTATTGTTTGCAATACGACGACCAGAAGATAGTCTCTGGACTTAGAGATAATACAATTAAAATTTGGGATAGAAACACCCTGCAGTGTATTAAAGTTTTAACAGGGCATACTGGTTCTGTTCTGTGCCTACAATACGATGACAAAGCAATAATATCTGGTTCCTCTGATAGCACTGTAAGAGTTTGGGATGCTAATACTGGTGAAATGCTTAACACACTGATACACCATTGTGAAGCTGTTCTACATCTCAGATTTAATAATGGAATGATGGTCACTTGTTCGAAGGTGAGTAAACATCTCTTCAACTATTTCCTCGTTTGTGTTACCGAACTGTACAATCCAGACAAAAGCTAATGGTACTGTTTGCTTGATTTCAGGATCGTTCAATCGCTGTGTGGGACATGACGTCACAAAAGGAGATTGTCTTGAGAAGAGTACTAGTGGGACACAGGGCAGCAGTTAATGTTGTTGATTTCGATGAAAAATATATTGTGTCTGCTAGTGGTGATAGGACTATTAAAGTATGGAATACATCTACTTGCGAATTTGTGCGAACATTAAATGGACATAGGCGCGGTATAGCGTGTTTGCAGTATAGGGATTGCTTAGTAGTTAGTGGTAGCAGTGATAATACAATCAGATTATGGGATATTGAATGTGGTGCGTGCTTACGTGTTCTGGAAGGACACGAAGAATTAGTCAGATGTATTAGATTTGATAGTAAACACATTGTTAGTGGAGCTTACGATGGGTGAGTAAAAGGCGAACCATAAAGTTTTCTATAAAGAACGTTTTTTCGCAAGCATAATGATCTACTTGATACTTTCTATTTCAGTAAGATTAAAGTGTGGGATTTAGTGGCAGCCTTAGATCCACGTGCTTTAGCTAACTCGCTCTGTTTACGTACATTAGTGGTAAGATATTTTTCATCCTTTGTTTTAGCGGTGAAAACACTTGACTATAATCTTGAATGTTACATTCTATGCACACTGTAGGAACATACGGGACGTGTGTTCCGCCTCCAGTTTGACGAGTTCCAAATAGTATCGTCATCCCACGATGATACAATACTAATTTGGGATTTCCTCAATTTTACTCCATCAAATGGAAGTATATCGCACGGGTCAACAATAAATGCATCTGGTGCAAATCAAACAGACACCAGATCTCCATCTCGTGAGTATCGAAAAAGAGACTTGTTGCATAATGTTTTACATTTTCCAAAGTAATAAATATCGTTTTACAGCGTTCGAGTGATGGACTAGTAAGAAGATTCCTGCATTGAGATACAACTGTAAGTATAACGTGTAAAAAGTCGATTACTGTTTTAATATAGGAAGACATAGAAATATTCTTTTGTAAAAATATTGTTATATACATAAATTATGTTTTTTTTTAGATAACTGTATTTTGTTGTATTAATAGCCGGCCTTTCTTAAATCTGGTTCCTTGTAGAGAGTATGTAAAATACGTTAAATTAATTTGTGGAATTAATTCATTTCAGACAAGTGGTTAGTGAGTGAGTTTCAATGTGTTCACGAATAGTGTACGCAAAGAATGAAGAATCAGTGTCCAGTGTGAACAATGGCTAAACAGAAACAGAATCTCAAAAGGACATATGGTCATTGACTTTCGTTTATTATTTTGCTGTAAAAAGGCAAACATAATCCTCTAAAATAGGACATACGGAGTGACACATAAAACTATGAATTAATTTATACGCGCTTGACGCACTGCGTTTAGTAATGAACAGTATGACGAAACCACGTAAATACATCCCATGGATGTAAATGATTGTCTGCTTTGGCCATATCTGGAATTCTTCTACGCTCTATGATATGATAGAAGTTGACCACTTTCCTACTATGAAAGAAATGAAAAAAAAAGACTTACGACACGTAAAGAAAAGGGAAAAAACGTTTTTAGGGAGGCTGGATATACTTAATAAGATGTTAGTTGTATTATAGTAAATTAATGATTTTTTATGTAATTAATTTATAGCAAGAAGATTGTAAAATGTCGTTTGATTGGAGTACTTATCCTGTGTGAATGTGGAGAAAAAATAAGGTATTAATATGTGAGAGGATTACGATAACCATCACGTTTCATTATCTTCGAAAACCTAGCTGATGTGAAATCATTATACCCATGTTTAGCATTATGAATGTACAGCCGTTAATCGAACATGTAGCAATTTCCATAGACATTAATTTTACGAGATTCATATTATATACTGAAAAGTACACGAAAAAGTTAAAAAACTGCCTGTATACAGCTATTGGTACAATACCATTTGCATTTAAAATATAAATTTTCATTATACCAAGATGTAAATATTAATTCATATAAAAGCAATATAGTGACTCCGAAGTAATCTTAGCTTATTGTAAAGGAATTATTATGTTCTGACTGATGATCTCTGATAGATCATATTTTTCAGTGTTTAAGTTTTTCTTTTGTTAGTCACGTTTTTTTTGCACTTAAATTATAAGAAGATTTCGAATAATGCGATACACGTTTGTATTGACAGACAGCATTAGGAGACAACAAAATTACCGATACGTTAAACAACAACAAGAACAAGAACAACAACAACAGAAGTACGTCGTTAATTTTCAAAATTTATTTAAATATTGTGTCTCTTAAGAAATATAAAGGAAGCTTACGAGTATGTAATTCCCGGTTTTGATTTCTATAGGTATATATTGAATTTTGTACAATACAGATCCTATATTAGATCGATCTACATTAAAATGCTGAAACAAAGAAAAGAAATTAGATATCATTGATGAAATGTGTGAAAGTACTTGGAGGTTTATGTTTAAATGAGTAAGGAGTAATGTTAAGTAGCACTTGTACGATATTCTACTATTATAAAAATGTTTACATTAAAAAGCAAGAGAATTATAGGAAAATTGTGAACCACATGTAGTCAAATTGGGTACAAAAGAATTGTGATTTTTAAATTAAAACGATGGCATGACAAATTTTCTATAACTTTAAGGTATGTATATACGGGGGACTCCAATGCGGACTATACTTTTTCTAGTATGGGCAGCATGTTCTGAATCTATGAAATACTTTAACGAAGAGAATAGCATAATAATAGTCGTAAAAGGTATTAACATACTCCTTATAAGCACATATTCTGTTATCTTACAGCTATCTATGAATGCGTATGTATACATAGGTATTATGGAAGTAACATCACATATTGCTGTTTCCTACATTCCATCCCGGAATGTAAAAAAATGAGAAAGAAGAAGAAGGAAAGAAAAAAAGAGAGATTGGGGTCTTAAATGAATTTGAACAAATAAACGCATTACTATAAAAGTCAAAGGAAATTCCTTATGTAAAAAAAAGTCTATATAATCGAGGAAGGTTACTAATAATATCTCGTTCATTTTGAAAACTTCGCGACGAATGATGTGTCTTGATGGTGGTAACCTTGGGCGTTACATTTATCAGAAGTAATAGTACGAAGAAAAGAATATCTTTAAGATAACATTGTGATGATTACTGTTAGTAACAATAGAAAGTTTCATGTACGAAAATTGACTACATAAAAATTGAATGAAGGCTGTGGAAAAGGTATATTTGAAATACAATACCTATGCAAGAAGAGGAGGAATTTTAATAGAGAATCTTATTCATCATTATCCCTTGAATTTAAGGCTTTTAACAGTTATAGGTGCAATTGTAACTTATTTTAAATATACGAGACGACTCGACATCTCAAAGTGTTCGTCAAACTAAAGAGAATTGAAGTTCTTCAGATATTCGATCTATGTATAAAAATGAATTGCTATGAAAATATATATACCTTATTAATCTTAACGACCAAAGTCGTTGCACATCGATATGAACAATTACAAGTTGCCGAGTCTAGACAGGAATTAAAATATTTTTAATTCATCATATGCATTTAAGTATCTTTATTTAGAACTATTGCACGGTACGGTTCCTGATCAATTTTTCAAATGACTACAATTTGCATTATTCCTCATTCGAATAAATATAAAACTATATAATAAAATTATGGAATCATGGTGAGATTAATGTTCCATATATTTTAAATAAATACACAATTATTTTTCTCTAATAATTTTTTGTAATAAGGAATAATGCAATTTACAATGATATTTTAAGTCTCATAATTGGATGTAAATTATTTAACGAAAGATTCTTTTAAAGGCAATGCAATTTTGATAAGACATGAAAGGCCCCAATCTGAGTGTTACAGTCGCATTTTTTGCTACTCGTTTATCATGGTATTATGCACAGTGGTATTTTATAAAAGACCATTTACGACAATCATCATTATTCAGATCCATCGATTTTTTTTAGCTTATTATCATTAGAGTGCATTAAAGCCCATTCACTTTGAAGAAACATGCATCAGATAATAAAGTATCTGTACATAATTTTATGAAAAAAAATGGTTGCTTCTTTTACAACAGTTCTGTTTGCAATGAACGCGTACGTATGAATTATTTTGAAAGTTACATCGAGTTTTCAACTGATTCGAAGACAGATAATCTAAAAGTATTCTCGAATCTAGATAAATCTGTACGAAAAATGGTCTATTTATGCCATCACGTAAACAGCATTGTCATTGGATCTCAAAAGCAATTTGATCTGTATATTCCGCTGGTTAAATCGTCGAATTACCGTGGCACCGTTCGATTTTCATAGATCGGAAATATTTCTACGATTTTCCAAGTGCACGCGAACGTCTCTAAATTCGATAGATTCTATGATTTCGGTGAAGTATCGATACCGAGTGCGTAACGATTCACGGGGTACCGTCGTGGCGTCACTGTCATTTATTTTGTCAATAAACGCGGTGGAGACGCGGCTTGTCTTTCTTCGTCGATGTATGATAAGCGAGGTGTGATAACTATTTTTCGTTTTTTCTCTTTTTGTTATTAAAGGTGGCGTTGTCGGTGCCCTCGGCGTAGAAAACGTCGTCTCTACATAACATGTTGTGGCAGTCGCGATTAAAGCATGTGATCCTGCCTTCACTGTAGATAATATACGAAGCTGCGAAAATGGCGGACGAACAGGTGAGTTGCCGATCAAAATAACGTGCAAACCTTGAAACGAGACGGAGTTGTATTACGACGAAGTGATTTCGAAAACGGTGCGGTAAACTGACCGGCGTTAAATCTGTTATGAGCTGTGCGGTATCGACGTGTGTCCAAAACGTTTCGCTGCCGTGAAATTCCTGAGCGCTTTTCCAATGGTATCGCACTGTTTGTTGCCGGATCACAGTGATTATTATTATTCGGTACCGCTGCTGTCAATGAGAACGCAGTCACGAACGGAATGATCCCTTTGTACACAGATCCATTGACATTTTGTTTTATGGACGAGATCCTGTTGCCGATGTGCAAAAGTTTAACCTTGTTTTCGTGAACGGTAGTTTGTGTAGGTTTAGTTTGAGGAGCTTCAAGAGATAATTAACGGGTGGAAATGCCCAGTTCGTGAATTTTACGGTCGAGCATTGCGCCCCGGAAAAGTAATGCCTGCCCTTTAACGGACTCGAATCGAAATTACCCCCACGGAGATTATTTGAAAAAATACGGCATAACCTATTCGATACACTACGACTTTTGCAACATAAACTGAGACGGTTGTTTTCTCTGCAACTTCAGTACGTTAGATAGTTTTTTGTTCAACGTTCGTTGTTAACATTCTTTTTGATTAATCGTCACGATCCGCTTTAATTCAAAATGATTGAATATAATTCGAGAAGGATTCTTGAGATATCTCCAAACTGAATTTCCGACCGTTTGAGAGACAGTTGTTCTACATCTGTTATTTACAAAATAGAAACCGCGTAACCTCAAACAATACATTAAAAATCGAGAACGTAACTTAATGTTTACCTTTGATTTCATAGTGTAAAAGGAGAACGAATGTATTAAATCAATTTTATAAAGAAATAAATCGTGAATATTATAAAAATTGAGTGTATTTAAAAAAAAACAAACAGTTG